TTAGGGTTTAGGGCTTAGGGTAGCTTTAGGGCACTGAACCCTTATCTCCCCCCGAGTGGCATCCCAAACCCAGAAGTGCGGCATCACCGAAGCTTGCCTGTGAGGTTTGGGATATCAACAACGACAAGTCTCGTGCAGAGGCCGCGGTTTAGGGTTTAGGGTTTAGCTTGCTGTTGCAAGTGCTCACAGACTGGTAGATAAAGGGATTCGAACAAATTGGAAATAGCAGCCCCTATGATCCACAATATACTTATATAGCACAATACGCATCGACACTTTTGTAGTCTGTTAAGGCCAAATCTTTGCCTTCTGAGAACTTCACATTCTAGATTCCCCCTGACTCTTTCTCGTCCGTTTGATCGTGATGGCCATTGAATCGAAAGGAGCATGACAAATGTAAGTGCTGTCAGTATGAGTATTTCGATTTTCTTGTATTTGCCGCGGCAGCAGCATCGCAGCAGCAGCAGCGTACTCCGAATATGTAGAATGAGAGTTTCAAGCTCCAGGACGCTTGCCAGCTTTTGTCGAGGCCAAGACGCGAGGTGTGCGCCTGGAGAAAATCATCCGGGAGCTCACCGACAGTATTCAGGAGGTGCGGGCTGGAGTCATTGAGTTGCCAGTTAGGGCTTGTAATCTTCACGGTTAGCCCTGAATCAATATAATTACATGTCCCACGCCCCGGCAAGCATAGCCCCACAATTGCAAGGTCCGAATGCCGACACTCCTCTTTTTTGGGAACTAAGGCATTGGAGATGAGGCATGCCATTCGTGGGGGCAAGGCGTACTGGCTTCTGTCGCCGAGTCTTGCTGCCTTGTTGCGTGCGACAGAGTTCAGCTTTCCGGCATGTATGTCATCCTTTGCAGGAGTGTGCATGAGTAGTTGATCTGAATCCGAGGGTTTCAGCAGATACGCTGGGCCTTACCTTTACTATTACTATTGCTCTTACCAGTACTATTACTAGTCACTATTACTCTTGTGTTATCTGGCACAGGGAGCTTGCCTTTTGCAGGTGACCTCCAAGTTCGCTCGAGGCTTCCTCGAGGATCAGTGGGCTCTGTGTGCGGTTTGGGGTTTTCGGTCCAGGAATCAGGGATTAGGGTTTAGGGTTTAGAGTTGGCTTGGTGATTTGGTTTTTGCTTTCGGGTGTGGGGTCTAAGGTCTGCAGGCTGTATGCATCCCTGGGTCGGAATCTTCAATCAGGGCCGGATCATCAAGAAGTGCGCTGGTGGCCCAACTTTTGTTCTTCTTCTTGACAGATGACTGCTGCTGCTGCTGCTGCTGCTGCTGCTGCTGCTGCTGCTGCTGAGGCTACCGCTACCGCTGCAGCTACGGCCACCGCTACCGCTGCAGCTACGGGTTCTGTTGCTGCTACTGCTACTACTACTACTACT